GTCAAACGATCGGCGTGCGGCGGTCCTAATCCAGCAATGGATGGGCAAGATAACTGTACTGTACTGTACTTGCACAGGGCACCGCTTACCCTGCAATCAGATTTAATAGCACTCGGTTGATAATAATTATCTGCCAGGGCCAATCCACTGCTGGGCGATTGCCACTTAAAAGCCCTTCACCCATCATCCCCGACGGAGTCGCCACTTTCACCATCGTTCAGCAGCCACGGCCATGCCCGTCTTGCTGATGTTTTTTTTTTTAGACATCTGTGCAACAACAAACAACAAAAGCGCTTGCGAGCTCATCGGATTCCTCTGGTCGAAATATTTCGATTCTGATCATCGGGCGCCCTCTGGCGGTCGCGTCTCTCCGTATCAAAGCGACTCCGAAAGGATGACGACGAAGGCCGGACTCTGGTTCTTTCGGTAAAGTCACGGAGAGAGAACCAAAGAGTATTGATCCCTGCAGTCACGAAAGCTTCAAATCAAGGACGACGAATGTCGTTTACCAAGGCAGCGACGGGCGGGAGTGCGCACCTCCGCGCGCGGCAGTTGACACAGTGGGGCGATCCCAGGCCACGCTCCTGCCTGCCCACCGGCTTAGCAGTGCAGCACGTTCGTCGGATCGGGAGGTCGCGTGCGGTGGGGTAAAGTGTGGGTAACGCCCACCACTTCCAACAAAGCTTGGCGCGCTTTGGAAGAGTAGACCAAATACAGTCTGCAGATTTGGGTTCGGTGGAGGTGGGGCCCCTTTGTCACGAGCGGTGGCTGCGCCTCTACCCAGCCGCACAGGTTTCACGCGCGCCACGGTGACGCGAACGAGTTCGATTGATTTGAGAAATACTTGGACGGACGAACTCAGTTCCAGATGGCTCCCGGCATGAGAGACGCGTTGAGGCGGTGCCCCTCGGGATGGCACCGCGCGTGTTGAGTGGCACGGCGCTGCCGTCTATGGGGGCAGCCCGCGACATACAACTCAACACGATCGTGAATGAGAATGAAATAACAGCCTTACAATAAAATGTATTTGATAGGCGACGTTTCAGGCAAGAGCCCTTCTTCAGAGCACATAAATACCGATGGAGTGGATGATCAGAGTTGGAGATCGCACGTGTTTACTTTGCGGCACTAGACTAGGACATCTGTGAAAAATAGATTATTAGATCATCGGATTCATCCAGGCTAAATAAAGATTCCGATTCTGAATGACATGTTAAACATAATTCCCGATTAACAGTTTGTACATTGGTAATGCATAGTTAACTATAAATAGAAAATAATTACCCAGACTCACACAGAAATACCCACTCACACAGAGACCCATATATTTCCAGAGACTCACGCTTACACAGAAATGCCCATACTCACACAGAGACCCACAGACTCAGACCCATAGATTCCCACAGAGACTCACACTCACACAGAAATACCCACACTCACAGTGACCCAGAGACTCACGCCGAGACCCACACTCACATAGAAATACCCATACTCACACAGAGACCCACACAGTCGCACAGAGACCCGTAGACTCACAGAGATCCAGAACGCACAGAGAAATGTGGGCTTGCACTGAGACCCACAGAGTCACACAGGCTCTCATACAAAGCGACATGTCAGACATCATGTCGAACACGCGCGGTACAGCTCGGAAACACATCGGACGCGAATGCCATTCCACGAGCCAAACCAGTCACCCTCCTAGCCACGTGGTGCCGGAGAACGCGACTCGCCACGTGGTGCCGGAGGTACAGAACGCGACTCGCCATGCCGACCGTCGGTTCAACCGTTCCCTTGCACGGGAGTCCAGTAGGACGTCCGCCGCGCGTTCACACGGGGTATGTGAAGAGGTTCTTGCGGTGACCTCCATCTCCGAGCTCGGCTACACCGCTCACCGCACTGCCCAAGTGACCACCGCGTGTAGGATTCAGTAAAAAGGCGCAGCCCTGCAATAACCCGCGTGCGTCATTGCTGGCAGAAGCGTCTCCACGAGAGGACGCTCTAAAGAGTCGCAGAGTTAGAGGTGTCTCCCCTGGGGGATCGAATCGAACACGCAGCGCCCTCTGAGATTGCACGCACTCGGTGTGCCATGAGACCAGGGCAGCGTCGGCAGCAGCTGGTCGTTGTAATCATCGCGTTAATTAATTCAGAACGGGAGAGTTGTTTTATATCGTGTAATTTAAAGGGCACCGTTGAAATGCCAGGGGATGCTGTAATTAAATGCAGGCAAGGTTATACATCTCGGTTATGTGAATTCTAATGAGGTTCCTTTTTAATGAAATCGTAGTTGTAGCTAATCGCGAAAGGTTCCCGGACGAACCTTAACTTATGGTTTGGGACTACGCACGTGGCGCCCCCTAGTGGCAGACCCACGCACGGCTTGCAGGGCAGGTGGGTGCCGAGTCACCTCGTGGCGCACAGGGACAGCTGCCGCTGTGGGTGCCGCTTTCAAGCTGTGTTGAGATGGGGTACGAGATGCAAGTCGCTCATCCGTGCCTCAACAGACTGTTGGGGCAAGTGCTGTTAGCGAGCGCCTATGAAGGCCGGCACGGCACACGAGGGGGTGGGTGGCCAGCACCACGCCCGACCGCCTTTGTCTCCCCAGTGGCGATGTTTACACAGCACACCAGGTACGTATTTGAGGCTGAGTATACGTAGGGGAGGCCCAGGACCGGTTGAGATAACGGTCACTGGTGTTGGCCGTGAGCGGGAATCAAACTCGGGTCGCTGGCTAACCGCTACACCACCGCTCCCCATCAACAACACAATCCATACACACTGCCAGTAATAAACAGAGACAACATGACGAGACAGAGACATCTTTCGAATCCCCTTTTCAAGCGGTTGTCCGATACTAAATATTCTCTTAAATTAAATGGACAACGCTATATAAATATATATTTTAATTACATTGGAAATTGATAATCCCTTGTGATGGAACATCTCGGTTTGCAACCAGCGTTTCCAAGATTTTTCTGTCATTGAAAAACAAATCAAGCTGTTCTCGACCCCCTTCCTGGTGGATGCAGAAGAAGTGGAAGAGTGTCTGCAGTTAAAACTGATTGAAATGCAATGTGATGATTCTCTGAAGAGTCAACATCAGCTTCTCTCCCTCCCTGACTTCTATCAGAGTTTGGATAATGCCAAGTTTCCTCTGATGAGACGCCACGCAAAAAGAATGATGAGCCTGTTCGGCTCAACATACATATGTGAACAAACATTTTCTGTTAAATCAGAACAAAAGCAGACTGAGAACCAGAATGACTGATAGCCATCTCTGTGAAGTCCTTCGTGTCTCAACCACCAAACTTTCTCCTGACATGTCAGCCATCCTTCAATCCAAAGGACATCACTGCTCCCACTGAGTGCAATGTTCTTCACATTATAGGTGAGTTAGAAATACACACAGTATTCACGTGTCAATATGTCACCTCTAGTGTGTGGCCCGGCCTTTTGTTTATATTTCTGTATTTGGCCCTCACTAAAAAAACTTTGGACACCCCTGGTGTAGTGTATAGTGGTGTATAGTGGTCGTGTATAGTAGTGTATAGTGCAGTGTATAGTGGTGTAGTGTATAGTGCCGTGTATAGTGGTAGTGGATAATAGTGTATAGTGCAGGGATGTCCGAAAGCCAATTTCGGACTCTTCATCTAGCAAACATTTGTCACGTTCCCTTTCTCTCCGGGCGCCACGGTATCCGAAGCGCACTCTCAATCTCTCTGGCGCCTCTGCTGTGAAGAAGGCCCATTGCTTGAATCGTTGCCGATTATTTTTTTGCCTCTCTTATTAGGGTCCCGTCCGCGCCGAATGTGACCTTTCGCGAAGATTCTGTTCCTCCCTCCCTCCCCCCTCCTCGTCGATCGGCGATTCGTCCCGGGCTCGCGTTTCGTCGCAAAACGAAAACTTGCGGTGATAACGGGGCTCTCGTTTGAAGAAGTGAAGATAACAGCTGCCGCTGCTGCTGCTGCTGATAAACATTATATGCTCGCAGTTGATGCACTGCGAGTTGGCAGCTGATGATGATGAACAGTCGATGCTGGCAGCTTATGTAGTGGTGAGTTTGTAGCTGATGATGATGCACAGTCGATGCGCTGCGGCGAGTTCGCAAGTCGAGTGGAGCGGTGGTGCAATGGCTCACGTACTGCGCTCCGAACCCTGACGTCAGGGTTCAATTCCAGGCCGTGGCGAAAGATCCGAGGCGAGCGACCCCTCCACCAAACCTCACCAGCCCGCACGGCCCTCCGTGCTGAACCCGTGTCGAGCCACGGAGGCTTTCATCCAGCAGTAGAATGCCAACAGACTATTTAGATTATTCGATAGGCTTTCGGGTCTCGGTGACTGCAGCTGTGGGTAACAGCTGGGTCCAGTTGTGCAGCCTTCCTTCAAGTGTGCAGGCGGTGCAACTCCACCGGAGCACAAAGGCCACAGAGGGGGCCCAGGGGCAGGGTTACAAAGAGGGGGGAGGGAAAATCGGACGGTGGTGGCGGAGGAACATTTCATACGGTGCACCGGCGCCCGTGCCACCAGCACCACGCCACTGGCTGGGTCAATTATGGCCCCGAATGTCCAGCTCCCGAGTTGGGCATCACGTCTCCCTCCCTCTCTCTCCCCCCCTGTGGTCGCGTGGATTTTTCTCCGGGTCCTCCAGTTTTTCCCCTCCACATTTAGAATCAACATCACCACGCGTTTAGAGTATTTGGCTGCTGTAAATGTCCACGTGATAAGCCACTTCGTTGAGCTATCATTTGTGGCCAGGTCGCTTCTGAAAAACAGCTACATAGCTCCGATGGCCTTACCTGGTAAAATTTATTTTAAAAGTTTTTTTTTTTTTAAATCTGGGCTGCACCACCTTTGCCCCAGCGGTGAAGACGTCCAAATGTCCCTGGAACGTCTTCCCCCGCATCGCCGATTAACACGGTCGGAAACGTCCGGCGTTAAAAAAGTTAAACACTCACGCACACACACACCTACCTCTCAAAACTATCCACGTCAACGACGGCTCGCAGCAGGTGCCCTTTTATTTCACTTGGACAACGGGGGCGACGGTCACGACACTGACAGTAATACGACAACTAGACCGTAGGACGCGCGCTCGGAGAGCAAGCCCAAAGGGTATTCATCACCGCTACACCAGGCCAAGCCGCGGAGACGCCGGTGGACAGCGCGCCCCCCCCCCCCGCCCATTACAGTACTGGGACAAGTGTGTGTGTGTGTTTTAAAAAAGATATAATATATACATTCAGCCACATGCTTCAGTGCCAACACCAAAACATGCCAATACAGACCGTTTAACGTAAAGCAGTATATCATATTATTATTAGCATCAATTAACAGTTAGTGAACGAGTACATTCCACAGGGCAAACATTCTACAGGGTTACGTGCGCACACGCTGGACGACGGGCAGTGGCGTGGCTATCGAGTGCACAGGCGGTGCAACTGCACAGCGGCCCAGGCTAAGGAGGGGGAGGAAATTGGACCCGGTGGGGGTGGCCCCATTTAACTCCTTGCGCCAGCACCCACGCTACAACCACCGCTACACCACTGCCCCTGCGAGTGCCAAGTCAGTGTGCTCGATCAGTAGTAGTTCGGCATCGCGTGCCGCCTCAAGGGAGACGCAACGCAAAAGGACGTGGCCGGCTCCCTTACCTCGTAGCTGCACGACCTAAGGTGGCCACGGTTGGTTTCTTTTGGCACAGCCAACGCCATCGGTTCAATCAACGGCGGGCGGCTGAAACCTCGAGTCCCACTGAAGCCAGGAGCTCGGCCGTGCTGGCTCGGCACCTCCGGACTTCCGAGTCCACCAGGCCGGCCTCCCCGTGCAGTCTCCAATTCGTCGCGGCATTACTACGGGCGACTCGAAAACGCTTTTTGTTGTTGTTGTTCTCATCAGCGGAGGCTTCAGACTTCCGGTACCGTGCGTGGCTACAAGGTAAAGGAGCCGTTGCGTTTTGAGCCGCGTTGTCCTCTCGCGAAAAAACGCCGACGTTTCCGAGCCACGAGGGGGCGGTGCTTTACATCCACGGACCGCCCGGCTCCCGATTCAGACGACACCGCTTTTAATTAAGCGACAAACAAATAAACAAAACCACCCACACACAAAGACGACCGCCGGCATTGCTGCACCCTCAACAAACCGGCATCATCCCCGCGCCTCTGATTAGCATGGCGGCATACGGGCGGTGCTAAAACAGAAAGTTCAACACGCGCACCTACGTACGCACGCACGCACGTGCACCTACGTACGCACGCACGTGCACTGCCACTTTGCTGCACACTCGCATGGAGCATCACGCACACCGCCACAGCTCTCTCGTTGACCGTCTGCTGGACGAAGGCCTCCCCCACGATCGCCGTGCGGGGTCGTGGGGGTCACGTGGCCACTCTTCATGGGTTTGTGGAGGTGGTGGGGAGCGGTGGAGAGGGTTGTTGACGTGGGCAGAGTGGAGTACCAACAACGGATGATGCTTCACCGCCCTCTGCTGCCCACAACGCAGCCCCCGCAAGGCCCCCCCCCCCCTCTGCCAATCTGCTAGGTACGCACGGTGGCGGGGTCACCCATCCAAGCGCCGCCCATCCAGGTTTGGGGCGTTACTCCGGGTGACACACCACGAAACGCTCACGCTGGACGACTGCACTTCGAACGGAGGCAAAGGGTTAGTCGTTTGGACAGCGTTAACTTTGGTTGTAGTGATTAGTTGCCAATGGCACTGCATAGCTGCAAGAGTGTACAGAGGTTTCACACAGTAGCCGGTAGCACAGACTCTGTCTAATTCAGTACAGAAGTGCAACAGTCAATTATTATTCTTCATCATCATCATCACAAACTAAAGACAATCACAATGCATACGAGGTGTACAGTCATGCTGGGGAGTGCTAAGCCACGTGGGTTGATTTAGAGTACACACAGCATCGTATAGAGAGCAACGATTATAGCGGCAAGTTTCACATAGCCAGGGTCGGAAGTAATAAGGCTACAGCCCTACTTGCCTGAAGCCCTGTTCAGTACAACCCTGTTGAATACAGCCTCACCTCGCCTACAGCCTCATCTCGCCTACAGCCTCACCTCACCTACAGCCTCACTCACCCGAAACCTCACACACCCACAGTCTCACACACCCACAGTCTCACTCACCTACAGTCACACTCCAACAGTCGCACCACTACACCCTCACCCCAATAGCCTCTCACCTACAGCCTCATGAGTAGAACCCAGTGTGATTGCCAATGGGACTTCTATCTGCCCAATCCTCACCGCTGCCACCCCCTCGACCGCCGTCACCGCCGTCACCACCGTCGTCATCGTCGTCATCGTCCTCGTCGGAGTCCTGCGTTCCGTTGGAGGTCCTCGAGCTGTCGCCGCGGCGACCTCGCGACACCGCCGGCCGGCCTTCCTCCGCAGCGCCGGACGATCCCCGGTTGCCATTTGCCACCGTCACCTTGGCAACCCTGCCCACCAGGTCGTCGGCGGCGGAGGAGGAGGAGGAGGAGAGCGGCCCGGCCGGCGCCGTCACGGCGGCGGCGGCGGCGGCGGCGGCGAGGGAGTCGAAGCAGTCGATGCAGACGCGCAGCGGGCGCGACGACTGGCCGGGCAGCAGGAAGCGCCGGTCGGAGCAGGCGCCGCACACCACGATGCCGCACTTGCGGCAGTGGTGCCGCCGGTTGAGGGCGTTGAAGCGCGAGCGCTGGCACCGCATGCACGCCGAAGCCGACGAGTCGGGCACCCACCACGCCGCCGGCTCCAAGCCGTCGGCGGGAGACGCGGCCGCCGCGGAGGAGGCGCCGGCGCCGCCGGGGCCCGGCGAATTGCACGGCGCCGGCAGGGGAGGCAGGCCGCGCTTGGCTCGCAGCTCGCGCACGCACCGCTCGATGTGGCCGATCCACTCGGCGCGCTCCGACTCCGTCGCGGCAAACACTGCGGAACGACGGTGCGGTGAAGACCGGGACGGTGCGGGACGGTGCAGGGACGGTGCGGGACGACACGTGGCGGTGCGTGACGACACGTGACGACACGTGACGACACGTGATGACGCGTGGCGACGCGTGAGCGGTTCTCTCGCTGTATTTTTCAGAAGGCCGCACCGTGAACGCGGCGTGCGAGGTGTGTGCAGGCGTTAGGACGCCGCGTGACACTGCGGGTGCATCACACACTGCCTCTACCGCTAATCTGTCGTCTCCAAGTCTCTCACCGCTATCTCTCCGCCTTATTCACACTCGCCCACACCTCACCCTCGCTCACCGTCACTCTCTCAGTCTCACCCTCACTCGCTCACTCACCCTCACGTTCAGGTTCTCGACCCTCACAAACCCTCAACTTATGCCACCCTCAATACTAAATATCACTCTCCATGAATCTTACTCTCACTCTCTCTCACCCTTACCACCCTCACCGATCTCACCCTTTTACCCTCTCATCCTAACCCCCTCACCTACACTCACCCACCCACTCACCCCCAATCTGACCATCACCCCCCTTAACCCCCACCTCACCGTGACACCCCCCCCGCCCCCTCCTCACCCTCACCCGCCGCCGCTCACCTTTGAACGACTTGGCGGGCGTCTGCATGAGCCAGCCGTTGCTCAGCTCGCCCTCGTCCGGCAGGGTGCAGATGGTGACGGCTTCCAGCGCCAGCACGCGCTGGTTGGCGTAGCGCCGGTTCCCCAGCACGGCGGCGCCGTACACCACCATGTCGTCGAACAGGAAGAACTGCCGCGGCTTGGGGCCCTTGCGGCACAGCTTGGTGAGCGTCCCCTCGCCCACGAGCACCCGGCCCGGCGCCATCAGCGGCCGTCCCGCCGCTCCGAAGCAGCTCTCGATGCGCGCGATGCGCCGGCAGTTCTCCTCGCTGCTCGCCAGCGGCTCGGCCATGCCGGGTGGCGTGTCGGGTGGCGTGTCGGGTGGCGTGTCGGGTGGCGTGTCGGGTGGCGTGTCGGGTGGCGTGTCGGGTGGCGTGTCGGGTGGCGTGTCGGGTGGCGTGCCGGGTGGCGTGCCGGGTGGCGTGTCGGGTGGCGTGTCGGGTGCCGTGCCGGGTGCCGTGCCGGGTGGCGTGTCGGGTGGCGTGTCGGGTGGCGTGTCGGGTGGCGTGTCGGGTGGCGTGCCGGGTGGCGTGCCGGGTGCCGTGTCGGGTGGCGTGTCGGGTGGCGTGTCGGGTGGCGTGCCGGGTGGCGTGCCGGGTGGCGTGCCGGGTGGCGTGCCGGGTGGCGTGTCGGGTGGCGTGCCTTCCGCGGCGGAGCCTGGCAGTGGAGGCGGCGAGGGGGGCGGGGGCGGGGTGGGAGGGGTGGTAAGCGCCAGGAAAATAACGGGAACGACGGTTTAATGCCATTTATCCACACACACACATATATATATACACATATATACACGCAAACATATACACATACAAAGATCCCCCGTATAGCCTTAACAGACTGTAGGGGCAAGTGCTGTTAGCGAGCACCTATGAAGACCGGAACGGTACACGAGGAGGTGGGTGGCCAGCACCACGCCCGACGGCCTTTGTCTCCCGAGTGGCGATGTTTACTACAGACCGCACCAAGTACTCATTTGAGGCTGAGTCGACCTAGGGGAGGCCCGGGACCAGTTCAGATTATCGTCACTGGTGGTGGCCGTGAGTGGGAATTGAACCCGGGTCGCCAGATTCATAGCGCAGCACGCTAACCGCTACACTATCGCTCCCCACATACACATATACATATACACACATACACACACACATATACATATACACACATACACACACACATACACACACATATATACACAAACGTGCACTGGACTTGCGATCCAGAGGCTGCCGGTTCGATCTCCTGGCGCGGCAGTTCAAAACTGGACGAGTTTCTTGAACCCTCACCCCAACCCCCCCTCCCTCACCCCAACCCCCCCTCCCTCACCCCAACCCCCCCTCCCTCACCCCAACCCCCCCTCCCTCACCCCAACCCCCCGCCTCTGTCCACCCAGCGGTACAAACGGTTGCACCACGGTCGGTCAGCGGGTCGCGTGTGGTGGGATAAATGGTGGGTAGGTCTACTTACTCAAAAATGTCTGGTCAGTGTGGAAGAATAGACCAAATACCCTTCAGAGTACCCGCCAATGGAGGCTCTTTTGCCAGCGGGAAACGAGGGCGAGTTTGTACGCTTGCACGAGCCAATCGGTGCATTCGTTACAAAAAACTCCACTTGAATCGCTTACCGGCTCGCGACTGTCGGAAATGGTAACCAGTTTCCGAAATCGGTCACCGGCTTACGGGTGAACGTTTTACAAACTTAGTTTGTAGCGATTGCCACGGCTTCCGGTTCAGTCGCACCGCCTGCACACTCAATAGCTAGATCGCTGGTAGGGCGGCGGGTGGGGCCGTGCGAGCACGGGACGTGAGACGGTGACGCTGTGTGTCTGGTGTATGGTCACAATAGCAGTGTCAAACAACAAGCACTTGCTACTCATGACAGTGATGAAGTCAGCGCGGAGTTATTCCGAATGCCCGGTCACACGCGAACGCACAGAAACACAAAGAGCCCCGTGGAGCTTACACAGACTGTTGCAGCAAGTACCATAAACTTGGCGAGCACACACAAACAACAAAAGATCTCCTGTTACAGCCTTATCAAACTGTTGGGGCGAGTGCTGCTACCGAGAACCTATGAAGGGCCGCGTGGCACACGAGGGGATGGTGTGGCTAGCACCACGTCCGGCCGCCTTTGTCTCCAGCAGCGCACCAGATACTCATTTACAGGTGAGCCAACCTGGGTAGGCCCAGGGGCAGTTCAGATAAATCGCCACTGCTGTTGGCTGCGAGTGGGAATCGAACTCTGGTCGCTCAGGTTTGTGGCGCAGCGTGGCGCTCGCCACCGTCTTCAAGGATGTGCGTCATCGTCTGCCCGCCGCCACGGCTAGGGTCCGGGTTGTCACGCAAGCCAAGCCCGCTCAGGCTCGCCGCACGCAGGTCTTGGCCGGTTTGGAACTCTGTTGACTCGGGGCCCAGTCACGACGCCGAGAGATCAAGGGAAGCGGGCGGACACCGTAGGACGCCCTACGAGCAATCGCTTCCTTGTTGAACGACGGGCGCCGCCGTGACTTGGCTGACACGTGCTGGCGTAGCGCGTCGGTCGGCAGCGGGTGCCGTGATGGCGGGCAGCGTGCGGGCGGGAGACGTCGACGTTCGGCAGAAGACTCGGCTTGGCGCGAATCGTCTCCGGTTGCGCGGCAGTGGCGGCCTCCCAGCGGGTGCGTGGAGGGGCGACGTTGGTCAGATAATGGCAAGTCGGCCGGAGGGCTCGCGAGGCGACGGTGTAACACCGGCGGACGTAGCCGCGTGTCGATGAGCTCAGGTGTAAGGTCCATGGAGCTTTTAAAAGCTCTTTTTTTATTTTAGGAGCGACCTGGCCACAAATGATAGCTCAAAGAAGTGGCTTATCGTGTGGAAGTTTATTGCAGCTAAATACTCTAAATGCGCGATTCTAAATGTGGAGGGAAGAACTGGAGGACCTGGAGAAAATCCACGCGACCACGGGGAGAGAGAGAGAGAACACGCAAATTCCAAATATACAGCAGGCGTCAGGGTCGGGATCAAACCCACGACCTCCTGTATACCAGGTGAGGTAGTTAACATCTCGCCACCGTGGCACCCAATAGCAAACACCTAATGGCAAATCTACACACACATAAAATAAACCATGCGCTGCTAAAGTTCCTGCCACATGACTTCCTGTGCAGGAAATGGAGCGGCGCTGCTGTTGCTGCTGCTGCTGGGAAATGCGGCATTCAGAATGAGATGGATTCCGGAAACCGGTCACGCCTCATCACACGGCGAACAAACCGGCGCCGGGACACAATATGGACGCATTGTGTGTGGACGTGGAGGATGTGGCAGTTCCGACACAAGCCTCTATATAAAAAAAAGGAATACTATCGGCCAGAGATGACGGTATGCAAGAAGTGTGAATGTGGAGACACTTCACACACACAGAGATATCAGTCACAAGCAGAAGAGAAGAGGGAGGGGTCTTGAGTCTGGACTTGAAGATGGGGAGGGTTGCGTAAGTGGACACAGCAAGAGAATGTGCGTCCTGGCAGGATGCGAGAGCAGCAGAAGAGGAAGAGCGACCACCCATCGAGTGAGTGTTGGCCGACGGCATTGACAGAAGGCCTTGCTTGGTCGCTGGAGCTGTCGGTCTTTGGCAGACGAGCAAAGCAGGGCTGGGAATCGACAGTGCAGAAGGCCGAGGGAAGAGCGTTCCGGCCAATGGGGACCACAGAGGAGAATGACCGGCCTCCCACCGACTTGGGGGTTTTGACAGAAAGCCTTGGACGCTGGAGTGACGAGTGGGTGGAAGGGAGTTGAACCGGATGAGAAAGGAAGAGGTAGGCAGGAGAGAGCCCACCAAGGATGTTGTCGACGGCGCATTGTACCAACCCCAATGGTTCGGTGGTGGGACCGCCGTACACTGAACCACAACAACAACAACAAGAACGCATGATTTTACCACACACCGCAAAAGCCATTCAATAAATCATATCCCTCAAGGCATAATTCTGACTTATGGTAGCACCTCCGGTTTGCACGGCTGGCTACGTACAGTGCGAAAGAAGTTCAGCATACATACAAACATTACTGTTTGTGCTGACTGCTTGTGTTGTGGTTATTGCAAACATGATGCCTTGAATAAAGGTGTCAGTTTTTGTGCCAGTTAAAAGGGTAAAACCTATTCTCATATCTTGTTTCTGGCAAAGGAGGTCTCATAATGTTAATGCTCACCCCGAGCCCTCAATACTCTGATAGTGCGCTGTTTTTGAGTTGTACGCCTTTTGGCGTCTTCTGGTCCAACACCAATGGAGACTAGGCTCTAAGAAAAGCTGTCTCGGGTGTGGACCAATCAAATTCAAGGACAGTGCATATTATTATCAGAGTTGTCTTTTTTGTTTGCATTTTGACTGCTTGTGTTGTGGTTATTGCAAACATGATGCCTTGAATAAAGGTGTCAGTTTTTGTGCCAGTTAAAAGGGTAAAACCTATTCTCATAGTATTCTACTCACTATAAAACATAAACACACCCCCTGTAGTTTTATAGACAGATGGGGTGAGCCCCTATGAAGGCCGGCATGGCACCAATGAGGATGTTGTGTAGTCAGCACCATGTCCGGCCACCTTTGTCTCCGCAGTGCTGATGTTTAAACGCCACACCAAGTAATTATAAGTAAGGGACGCCCAGGACCATTTCAGATATATATCACCAATGTTGGCCGTGAGAGGGAATCGAACAAAGGTGTCCTGGTTTGTAGTGCAGTGTTCTTAACCACTACGGACGCCACCACGCCCCATTGTGCATTCACACTCCACACCAGAGACCACACACGCCTGCCCAGCCGGTCATGTCACAATCTGAGAGAAATGTATGCCAGGGGGCAATTTAATTATATGTACCTGCCTGAGTGCAGTGCACATAAGCAATCATTTACACTGTGTTCAATTAAGGCAAAAATCCCCCACACATAGCTGTCACAGACCGCCGGGGCAAGTGCGAGCAAGTATTAAATTCGCCACAGCACACGAGAGGGGGTGTGGACAGCACCACGCTCGGCCACCTTTGTATCCCCAGTGCTGATTATAACACACCGCACCCGGCAATCCTTCGAGGCCAGGTTGATCATCGGAACGAAGCAGTCACGGTTGCAGTGACGGATAACGACCAAAATCGCTTGCAGGCCGATCCGAGAGCGGTACGCTTCACGTGGTGGCACGCCACATTAAATAAATCCAAGAGTCGTAGATTCCCACACCTGGTTCAAACTAAATTCCGGTGTCGGTCGTCATTCACCCCAGATCACCCCTTGCAAGCGAGGCCCGTGTGTTTACATTCAGACACGCAAAGCTGTATCGGCAGATTGTAATCCCACTGCGGTTCTCCAGGTCGGACTGCGTTCTTGTGAACGTTTCATCTCCCGAGTTTCGGCCACGTGCCACTGCCACCCGGCATCCTCGGCGCTGCGTGGCAAAAGCTTGAGAGAAGAGATGCTAAAACGCGCTACTCAACCCGGAGAACTGCACTTGGATCGTGTTGATGTGTTTTGTCTTCGTGGGCTGTCTGCGTTTCCTGGTGAAACCGAGATCAATT